TCATTTTCATTCATTTCTATGCATATTTTGATTTCTTTTTTGATTTCTTCTATGATTTGTTGGTTATTCAGAAGCGTGTTGTTTAGCCTCCATATGTTTGAATTTTTAATAATTTTTTTCCCGTAATTGAGATCTAATCTTACTGCACTGTGGTCAGAAAAGATGACTGGAATGATTTCAATTTTGTCTCTGTTTTTTATTATGCTATCTAGGTTGGTCATAACTTTCCTTCCAAGGAGTAAGTGTCTTCATTTCATGGCTGCAGTCACCATCTACACATACCTTGGACCGGCTTTAATTCTTCCTTTATGCATCAAATATATCTTGAGTCCTTTCTGTGCCAAATGCCACGCCAGACGTGTTTGACTACATGTTTGAACTAAACAGGGGCCTTGCCCTCCTTAAGATAAGAGGAGACAGACATAAAGCAGAGAAAGGAATAAATAGCCAACAACTATACAACCTCTCACCTGTGTACTTTACCACTGGCCATTTTTTTCTTTTTTCTTTTTATTGGAATATAATTGTTTTACAATGTTGTGTTTGTTTCCACTGTACAAAGAAGTGAATCAACCACACATATATCCCCTCTCTCTTGGACCTCCCTCCCACCACCAGCCCCATCCCTCATCTAGGTAATCACAGAGCACTAAACTGAGCTCCCTGCCTTATGGAGTAGCTTTCCACTAGCTATTTTACACACGGTAGTGTATATATGTCAGTGCTACTCTCTCAGTTCATCCCACCCTCCCCTTCCCTCCCCATACCCATAAGTCCATTCTCTCTGTCTGCGTCTCTATTCTTGAGCTGCAGAACTTTCCAGGCTTAGCTTCTGAGATGTTGTACTTTGCTGATTTTTCTCTATATCACTGGCCTCTCCTTCTCAGTCCCCTTGTAGACTCTTCTACCTAGCTTCTGAATACAGAGCACTAAGGGACCTTGTCCAGGTCCCTCTTCCTTTCTGTATCTTCCCCTAGGTGATCTCATTCATGCTCACAGAGTTGACCATGCTCACAGACGTGGTCAAGACCCCCAAATTAATATCTCCAATGCAAAACTCCCCTTTGAGGATAAGATCTTCCCCCAGTTGAACCACCCTAGCACTTACACCTCTCTCTTGCTCTCTTTTTTAAATTTACTTTTTTTCTCTGCACTTAACTCTCTTGAGTCATTTCATGTTTCCTCTCTTTTTCCATGATTGTTTAGAAACTTCCTTTATGCTCCTCCTAATTTATAAACCCCTTGAGGGTAGGAATTCTGTTTCATCTCCAGTTCCTACGGGATGTTGCATAGTAAGTGTTTAATATATGATTATTGAATTTAATATGTGAGCTGAATTTCTGCTTTAGGGATCTCTGACACACAGCCAGTAATGAAAGGGAATATTTTATTTAAAGAAATAATGCCTCATCCTTCTGTATTTCCAAATGAACAACCTCAGATGAGAGAACACAGCTACATACTTTGACATGAGGTGAATACTTAAATTTAAAAATGCCAAATGGAGCCAATATCATCCCTTGTGGTCACTGGAGCTGCCTCAAAGGTTTTATATTAATAAATTGCCTACCTGCCACAGCCCATCTGGCAAGGCTGGTTTGTCAGTGCCCATTTGTATCTGCTCCCTCCTTTGAAAAGAAAAGATAAAAGCAAATGACAAGGGTTTGCTTAAAACTCTCCCACCCAACTAGAGCAAGGGTTCAACCACATAGTGCTGATTCCTTGATTTAGATTCAGAACCAAAGAGGAGGACAAAAGAGGAAGACCCCCTGGATTCCAGGAAGATGCTTCAACAGCTGCTATAATAGCTTGTGGCAACTGTACCTCTGCTCCTTCATCTGAATTTTGATCCTGTTCTTTTCCAAGCTCTTCCCAAGGCCTCTTCCACCCATCAAAATCAGCTCATCTCATATACCTTTAGAAGAAAAGAGGACTGATGGAAGCTAAGGATTGTCTAGAGAAAATCCAAGAGCCTGTTTGTACTTGATGATCTGCTAAAGTGGGTTGGGGGTCATGAAGACCATACAGAGAGGCCCTGGTTATAATGTAGACATGACCCCATGACCCCTTGGTGTGTGTACATAGAAGCTGCTTTAACTAATTTTGGTTGCCCTGAAAAAAATCTGTCCTTGGCCTCCACATGCTTGAAGCTTAGGGTTTAGTCTTTCAAAATGAGAGGAAAATCGTCTGGATTACCTCTCTTCCATAAAAATAAATATTTTTCAACTATTGTGGCATTTTAAACTCTATTTTCTTTTCCTGCTAGTTTCCTTTCCCTATCACACTTCCCTGAAAAACACAGATTG